TCAAGGGGCACACACAGAGGCATTGCTCCATCCCTCTGGATGAAAATTACAGCATGACACACCCAGAGCTGCTCCTGGTGATCAGAGCAGCAGAACAACCGTGCAAAGACACTGCCCTGACATTTGTTACAGAGACACTGCCCTGGCATTTCCCAAGGCTGTGCCTTTGAACCAAGCTCAGGGTCGGGTCTGAGGAGCCCAGGGCTGGGTCTGAGGAGCTCAGGGTTGGGTTCAGCATCTGGCCCATGCCACTCCTCTCCCTGTTTCTGCAGGCAGTGCTTTCTCCAGTCCTGCACCACAAGGTGATGATAGCCTGGGGAAACTCTCTGAGGGGAGGAAGAGAAGGCAGAAATAATGCTGCTGGGGCAGTGAGGCTGCAGCTGAGGCAGCAGCAGAGGCTGACAGCTCTGTGGTCAGGGATCTCTCCAGCTGCTCCCAGCCTGTGTGTGCCCTGCTGAAGCATAATGCTGGCCTGCATTGCCAAGCAAATTGTGTTCTGTTTGCCATCTGTATGGCAGCTGTCTTCTGTTCAGTGGGCAGTTTTCCTTGTCTCTTCCACACCCACTCCTCCCTCTGATAACAGCTATTGAATGTCACTGCATGGCTGATAAGAACTACAGCATCCCATTGGGAGATGTGAGCCCAGAGGGAGGAGCCAAGCATTCCTACCTGGATATAATCTGGAGATTCTGGAACACCAGCCAAGCATTCCTGCCTGGATATAATCTGGAGATTCTGGAACACCAGCCAAGCATTCCTGCCTGGATATAATCTGGAGATTCTGGAACACCAGCACGGCTTCTCCACTGGATTCCCCAGAGGAACAGCAGCTGCCTCTTCTTCCTCTGGATCTTCAGAGGCAGAGACTGCACCTTTCTCCAGGATCCCTGCTCCAGCAGAACCAGCCCTGACACTGCAGGAGGGCTGAGCCACAATTCCAATGGGACTGCTGCCCACAGTCTGACCCACAGGGTGTCAGGTTGGGTTCTGACTCTGTCAGTGCTGTTTTAGTGTACTGCATTGTTTATTTTATCCTTTTATTTTCTTTCTTATTAAAGAACTGTAATTCCTGCTCCCATATTTTTTTGCCTGAGAGCCCCCCCCTTAATTTCAAATTTACGAAATTTGAAGGGAGGAGGATTTACATTTTTTCCATTTCATTTTCTCCTGCCTTCCTCAACAGACACCTGTCTTTCCAACCCAAGACACATACCCTGCTATTTACTGAGGACTGCCCTGGTGCTGTCCCTTTGCCCCTCACAGCCCTGGCTGATGAGCTGGTTGTTCACTGGGGAGAGGCACCGCTTCTGTCCATGCCTGGCCCTGAACACAGACACTCCCAGCACTGCCAGATGGCAAACGCAGGGAGAGGAGAGCAGGGAGCTGCAGCTCTGCTTCCTCACAGGAAAAAAGCCTGGAGGGAGCGAGCCTGCCCTGGCCCTGCTGCTGCCTGGCTGTGGAGTTGGGAAGGGCAGGACAGAGCAGGGCCAAGGACTGAGCCCTGAGCCCCAGGGTGGCTGGGGCAGCGCAGGGTGTGGGGCTGGGATCATCTTCTTTAGGTTTGCACGTGCCTGCAGCCCTGTGGAAACAAACCTTACATAAACCTCGCCAGAAGCACAGCATTAATATTTAAAAAAATGACATTTAAGGTATTGGATGTGCGCTGTGCTCTCCAGCAGCGTCTCTGTGTCTGCGTGTGTGCGCTCACGCTCCGGGCTTTGTTTTCCTTTTATAGTGGATTGTTGTGTGTATGTGTTTTACTCGGGGTGTTCTGTGCTATAATAAGAAGGGGGAGGGAGCAGGGAAATGCTGCTCTGTTTATACACACTGCTGTCAACAGCAATGCTGCCTCTTCCAGACTCACATCCTCCCTGGAGCTCCTGGGTCCAGGCAAAGATTCCCCCCTTGATCCCAGGGTCCTGCAGGACTGCCTGAGCCTCCCCTCCCATTCCCTCTCCTGGAATTTGGCCCAGGGGAGGTTGGCACAGCCCCATGCAGCATGCAGACAAGTGGATATGTGAAGGTTCAAAGGGACAACCTTGGCAAATGTCAGGGCAGTGTTTTTGCATGGTTGTTCTGCTGCTCTGATCACCAAGAGCAGCTCTGGGTGCGTCACGCTGGGATTTTTGTCCACAGGGATGAAGCAATGCCTCTCTGTGTCCTTCCTGAGCTTCCTTGATACTTTTCCCAATGCTTTCCACCTTTGTGAGTCTTCTGAGGCACTGGTGCAGGGCTCAGCCTCAAATGTTACTGCTCACCCATAATTTTATAAATCTCAGGTGTAGCACATCTCCTTCCCCTCCCCCTGAATTTTGATGTGTTTAGGTTTTGTGGCAGGAGCATTTTTATGCCTCTTCTCATTTTTTTTTTTTTCCCTGAAATATTCAGTGAATTTGCCCTTTTCTCATTCTGATATGGGCCTCAAGGGACAGATCCCTCCTATCCATCTCCAGCATGCCATAACAGCCTGGGACAAGCTGGAAAAGTGCTGGGTCTGAATCCACCCTTTTGATATAAATGGACATTATGCATTTTTAATAGACATGGAGCTCAGTGAAACCCTTAGTACTAGCTGAGCTGGCACAAAATTCCCAGGCAAGGAGTCTTTGGAGCTGATATCTCCCTAGGTACCTTGCAGAAAATGAGACCAAGGACAAAAAAAAGGCCACGTTTCCCTTTGATTGCAGGAGCTGCTGTGTTTTGCAGAGGGGGTGGCTGAGCAGGAGCTGCCTGGCTGTGCATGAAGGACTCTGGGCTGGCAGTTCTTGTTCATCCTGATCTTCCACAGAGAAGGTGCAGCTTGCAGGGAGAGGCTGCTCAAAGCTCCTTCCTTCCAGCATCACCTTGATCTGAAGGCAACATCTCGCTGCTTTGTCCAGCACAGGCTCAGCAAAGCTCATTTCCACCTGAGGCAGGGGTGGAAATATATATTATATATTATATATTATATATTATATATTATATATTATATATTATATATTATATATATTGCATATTATATATATTGTATATATTGTATATTCTATATTGTATATATATTATATATTGTATGTTAGATATTGTATTTTTTATATTGTATGTTATATATTATGTATTTTATATTATATATTACATATTTTTTATTTTTATTTATATATATATATATATATATATATATTCCTCACTTCAGGAATAAGGAATGTGGGAATCCCTGTCCCTCTGGTGCTGCAGCTGGGCTTTGTCAGTGAGCCTGATCATTTGTGGGTGATGTTTGGATTTCCAAACTTCTCAGCAGAAATCTCTGCATCCCCTGGAGATGCACAAGTGAAAGCTGGAGTCTGAATGCTGTAGGTTCAAAACCAAAAGGTCCAGTGACAATTGTGGGAATTCCTGGTGAAGATCCCAGAAGTTGCCCCACGCTGTGGATTCCAGATTGCTGTGTACTCCAGCTTTCCCCAGTCACCAGAATGATGGGGTTTATTTTTTTTTTTTACTTTGTTCTTCCTTTTTTGGTAAAGCATAAGTAAATCTGTCTATACCTACAGGTTTCCATGGCACTGTAACCTTACAGAGAGGGAGCAGCAGGGGAGGATCTGTGGATCTGTGCACGTCCACTGTGGAACAGGGAGAGATAAACGGGGGTGCTTGGAGGGGATTGATGTGGTTGGAAGCAGCTCAGGACAGGTGAAAGGTGGCTCACCCCCAAGCTGAGCAGTGACTTTTGGCTCAGGGTAAACTGCCCAGCTGGCATTTGGAGACACACTCGCTGTGGGGTTCAGCCTGCTGAGCAGGGTCAGCTACCAAAGGGCAGGATCAGGAGATGAGACCTTTGTTCTCCCTGTGCCCTCAAGCCCTGCCTCCCCCAAGTGCTCCCCAAGGAGGAAGGGAGCATCCCTGTGGTTCTGTGCATGGACAGAGGTCACACACGGGTCCTGCAGATGTCACAGCTCAAGGGCAGACCTAGGCACATCCAGAGCCTCCTTCCCATGGGAAAATGCTCCTGCTGCCCTTTGCCCAGTGCCAGGACCCTTGGGCAGCCCCCAGGAGGGACATGGGGGTGCTCAGTGTTTGGGGGGGATGGCTGAGCAGGGCTGAGGGAAGGCTGGTGCTGCAGGGAAGGGAAGCAGGATGAGGTGCAAGGAGGGCTGCCCACTGCTCCCAGAGCCTGGCTGGGCTCAGCTGGGAGCCACCAGCATGGGCACGGGCAGAGAGGAGCTGAGGGGGCTGCTCTGAAGAGCTGGAAGTGGAGCCGAGCTCTGCCTGTCACCCTGAGGGCTGGAGGGGAGCTTTGCCTTGCATCCAACACATGGCCACCTTCTGAGCTTCCTCTGGGCAATGCTGAGCTTCCTCACCAGCCAGAGCCTCTCCATCCCCATGCCATCCCATCCCATGGATCCCACCCCATATCCCATCCCATCCCCATCCCATTATGCCATCCCATTCAATTCGATGGATCTCATCCCATGGGTCCCATCCCATCCCCATTATCCCATCCCATCATCCCACCCCATCCCCTCTCCCCCCGGTCCCGCAGCCCTGGCTGTGCTCAGGGTGAGCAGAGCAGATCCGATCACTCCCGGGGCCCTTCCCCGGCTGTCGCTGTCGCTGTCGCAGGTTGCGGTGCCCCTGCCGGAGCGGGATCAATTGGCACCCACCATTCCCAGAGCATCCCCTCCTCTGGCAGCCACAGCCTGCCGGCGCTGCTCTGGATACAAAGCAGCCACGCTCTGCCTCCTTCCTCCCGCATCCCGCTGGCCTCCTCCTCCTCCTCCTCTTCCTCCTCCTCCTCCTCCTCCTCCTCCTCCTCCTCCTCCTCCTCCTCCTCCCTGTTTGCTCGCTCTCTTTCTCCCCCGAACGCCAGGCTGCAGAAGGCAGAGCTGCGAGCCGGAGCACAGCGAGTAGCTCCCCAAGGCTGCTCCTGGCCGAGCGAAACGCGGGCAGGGATGCGATGAAGCAGCGCCGTGCTCGCTGCCTGGATTAAGAAAGAAAACATTTTTTTTTAAAAAAAAAACCCTTAAAAAGAGCGAGAAAAGCACCACAAAGCCGGACGCAACAAACGAGGCGGAAAGGGGGGAGAGAAGGAGGCGGAGGTTGCTGGATGGGCGAGGAGCCGCTTTGAATCGTGCCTCTGTTCGCAGGGATTAGAGCATGAATGGGAGCAGCTTCCCGGCCGCGATGGAGACAGAAGGCGGCTCCGGCTGCGCTCACAAGGTAACTCCGGCTGCCTCCTCCGGCTGCATGGCTGAGCCGAGCAGGACACGCATCCTTTCTGCCCGGGGTGTGTGTGTGGATGCAGCGGGCAGGGCACGGGAGCGAGCAGGAGATGCTCGGAGCGGTTTTTCCCTCCCCTCCCGGCGCAGGGAGAGGGCGCAGAGCGGGTCCGGGGGGCTGCGGTGCTGGAGATTCACTTTGCCCCCGCTTTGCCCGAGGACACCGAGCTGCTTTCCCCGGGGATCGCTCCAGGATCTCCCAGCATCGCCCTCCCGACCCTACGTGCCCCGGGGTCCCTGGGGCTCTCGGTGGCTCCGCATCCTCCCGAGCATCCGTGCACAACGAGGGGAGGGAGGTGAGAGGCCACCCGGAGTTGCTGCTCCCCTCCCTTGGTCATCCTCTGCCTTTTCTTCGCACCGGAGAGGGATGGGATGCGGGAGGAGGGGGAACTGGAATCGCTTTCATTCGTGCCAGCAGTGCCGGGAGCCAACTTTGAGGCTGCCTAAAGGGAAAAGCTTCCCGAGTGCTGTGGTTTATTGGGGGGAGAGGAGATGGCTGAGCAAGGCTCAGAGGAGGGATGTCTGTGTTGTGGCGTGGAGTGGGAGTGGGAGGGGATGGGAACCAGTGGTTGTGAGGGAGAAAGTCAGGGCTGATCAATGAAGCTGCCCACAGATGATGCTCTCCTCTCCCTGCTGGGCCTCTCCGTGACTCAGTTCCTGGGTCTCTGACCGTGAAACTCCGAATTTCTCTCAGTCAGGGCAGGCAGCACAACTTCACACAGGGCTGGGAGGTGCCTTTAGCCAGATGTTGGGGAAAGCCCCGAGGAGAGCCCGATGCTCGCAGCTGTGGAGCCCCTCCCCAGTTATCCCCAGCAAGCAGAGCCCTTTCCTGGCCATCCCTCACTACCTCGGGCAGGATCCTGCTGCTGCCACATCCATTTGCTCCCATTCCCCTCCTTCCCTGCCTCCAGGGGCTGCTTGATGGCTCCTGGCACGGCGTTAGGAAGCGTTTGCTTTGATTGCTGAAATAACGACGTGTCCCAGAGGTCCCCCCTGGTGCGAGCACATCCTGAGCCCCAGAGTGCCACCCGTCCCTGCCAGAGCCTGGGTGTGCAGGAACAGTAATGCAGGAACATTCAGGGAGTTTGTGGCCCAATGTGAGGCACTGGCAGAGACTCGGGCGTCTCTTGCACTGCTCTGCACACTCTTAGATTTTTGGTGTCCCTGAGCATCCTCCTCAGTGAGTGGATCCACCAGGATTTGGCTGGAAGGTCACAAGGGCTGGGGTTTCCTGGCTTACCTGGCAGAGATGGGGCTGAAAGGGTGTGGAGAGGAAAATGGAGGCACTGGGGAAAATATCTTCTTTCTGTGTGAAACTCCAAACTCTGGTGTCTGTGCCAGCCTCGAGGGATGCAGATGATGTTCTGGTGAAGGAATTCAAGAATTAGGAAGAATCTTTCTTCCAGCAGGGTTAATTCTGTGGTAGAGGTTTGGAAATGGCCAAAGCCAGCAGGACAGTGGCTGTTGCTATAATGGGAAGGCAGCTGATCAATAATTTTATTTTCCTGTTTGAACATTTATGGGTGTGGGGAAGGCAGAGGAAGAAACATGCAGTCAGGGATGTTAGCTCTGGGTATGTTCCCATTCCAAAGGGATTTGAATTCCAATTCCTGGATTACAAATCCCTTCCTGCACCCCTCCATGGGCATTCCTGGGGGGATCCCTGCAGTGCCCTGACAGCTCCAGGGTGCAGAACAGGGGACACAAACCTCATGTTTGGCTTCTCTGGGTCAGAAAAGCCAGAAGGTCTCCATGAGGGTCTCCATGAGTGCAGGAGTCCCCAAGAGGAGAGAGGCAGAGCTTTCCCACCTGGCTTCCCAAAGTTTCCTGACCCACCAGAAACTCAGAGTTTCCCATCCCATATCCCATCCCCATCCCCATCCTCATCCCATGGATCCCATCCTATGTCCCATATCCCATACCCCATATCCCATATCCCATATCCCATATCCCATATCCCATGTCCCATATCCCATCCCAGAGAAGGAATGAGTGAACAAAGTGCCCCAAGCCTTGCAGGGGCTGTCACCCTGTCTGTGCCACAGCTGGCACAGTGCCTTTGTCCCCACCAGGGCAGTGCCAGCCAAGCTCAGGGATGCTGAATTTCCTCTTCCCTGCCTGTTTGTGGTGCATCTTCCTGGGCTTTCTCGGCAGCTGTTGCACCTCTGGAGGCCAGGAGAGCTCTGGGTGCCCCCAGAGTGCAGGGCTGGGGGGTTGCAGCATCCTCAGCCCTGCTGCATCCTCCTGGCAGCCCTTGGGGAGAGCTGGCCTAAGCTCACCAAGAATCCTTCCAGGACTGAAGTGTGAGCACAAGCTCTCCCTTTGGCCAAGGCTGGCTGTTCCCAAAATGCTGCTTTCTGAGCCCAAAACAGGGCATCATCTGCCCCTTCAATCTCTTCCAGACTCTCCTGTTGCCACAGCACCTTGGGAAATGACAAGAGCTGATTTAAAAAGGGACACTGGGGCAAATGCTGCATTTCATTTTTCAGTGGGTTTTGCAGATTTGCCCTTTGAGATGATTTTGCTCTGTCTTGCCCTTGTTCTATTTCTACTGGCTCAAAAAAAAAAAAAAAAAGTTGTGCAAAAAAAGCAATTTTTAGTTCGTCCAACAAAACCCAGTGGGCAGATCTGAATCCAGAGGAGGACAGGAGCTGGTCCTTTCTTGCATTTCTGTGCATTTTCTGTGGCAGGGATGAGCAGTGCCAGAGGCTGCCTGGATTCCAGGGCTGCTTTTCAGCAAGATCCCTGACCTCTGGGGATGCAGCAAGCCTTGGTCAGCATCTTCCTCTGTGGCCATGCCTTCAGTGGCTTCCTCACCCTGCAGGCCTGCATTTCCTGACTCAAAAAGTTCAGTGGGCTGCACTGTAAGTTGTGTTTAGCTGGAGGAGAATTTAGTGGGGCTTTGATGACTTGTGTCCTGTGGTCGCCAGAAACTGATGCTTCATGCAGGCTGGCCTAGAACAGAGACTGGACAGAGCTAAAGAATAGAGCAGGGATTTATTAAAAGGATCTCCTCAATGGATTCACCTTGGGCAGCACAAGAGCCCAGCCAGGGCTGCACCCAAGGTGAACCAAAATGGTCACAAAATGAACCCAAGGTGAACCAAAATGGTCACAAAATGAACCCAAGATGAACCAAAATGGCCCCAAAATGCACGAGCGCTCCCGGGGTCTCTCCCTGGGATCAGTTCTGCTCCATTTGCACCTTGCAGTTCATTGTCCCATTCCAGCTTTAGCCCCTGCAGTCCCACCCTGCTTGTTTTTCTCTCTCCAGCCCACGGGGTTTGTGCTCCTGGGCTGAGATTGGGATCATTTGTCCTTGGTGCCCAGCTGGAGCAGGAATTGTTTTGTCTCCCTGCTCTGTGCACAGAGCTCACCATCCCGTGATGTAAACCCAGACCCACACACTGAAGCAGCACAGAACCTGAAAAATAGAAAAGCCAAAACCTGAGGCAGCACCTCCAACCCACACCAAGGCAAAGCTTTTCCTGGTATCCATGTCCTTGGAAGGTGCCTCTGTGGCTCCTTTTTCTCTGGGATGTGTTGCCTGCTCATGTTCTGCCTGTGGAGATCCTGGATTAGCACCTGCCCCTGCTTTGCTGCTGTGGTGGCAGGAGTGACCCATGCCAGGAGGGCTGAAGGGTGGGGATGGACTCTCCGTTTTCCTCCTGCATTCCTTGACTTTTTGTATTTGGGTTGGCCATCAGGGCTGGATTCCCCTCCAGGAGCTGAGGAGGGATTTGCTGAGCAGAGACCATAGGATGGGGGCCATAATTAATCTCCATCTCCTGCTGGAGACCCAAGGAGCAGCCCCAAGTGCTGGCAGTGCCACAGGGTGTGGGCACTGTGGAAAACATCTGCTCCAGCTGTGCTGGGAACTCCACATCCCCAGGGAATGACAGAGGGGGCAAAGAATTCCCAGTGCTGGGGAGCTCACCCTGCTCTCTCTGTGCTGTCCCACAAATTTAACCAGTTCATCTCTCCTCCTACCCTTATCCCTCTCCCTCTGAGGGGTTTTTTGGTTGTACCAAGTGTCACTTCCCAAAAGACTTTGTTCACAGGCTCAGAAAATTATTATTATTATTATTATACACCTTAAAGCACAATTCCACACTAATTTTTTCCATCCTGGAAGTTAATTCCTTCCCCCTGCACAGTTCTGGGCAGGAATACACCTTAGAGCACACTTCCACAGCCATTTTTGCATCCTGGAAGTGAGTTCCTTCATTCTGCACAGTTCTGGACAGAAATACCCCTTGGAGCACATTTCCACACCCATTATTTCCATGCTGGAAGTGAGTTCCTTCCCCCTGCACAGTTCTGAGCAGTAAAACACCTTAGAGCACATTTCCACAGCCATTTTTCCACCCTGCAAGAGTTCTTTCCCCCTGCACAGTTCTGGGGAGTAAAACACTTTGGAGAACACTTCCACACCCATTTTTCCATCCTGGAAGTGAGTTCCTTCATTCTGCACTGTTCTAGGCAGTAATACACCTTAAAGCACAATTCCAGACCCTTTTTTTTTCCATCTTGCAAGTGAGTTCCTTCTCTCTGTGCAGTTCTAAATAGTAGAAGACCTTTGAGCACACTTCCACAACCGTTTTTTACCACCCTGGAAGTGAATTCCTTCATTCTGCACAGTCCTGGGCGGCAAAACACTTTGGAGCACATTTCCACACCCATTTCTCCATCCTGGAAGTGAGTTCTTTCATTCTGCACAGTTCTAAGCAGTAGAACACCTTAAAGCACACTTCCACACCCATTTTTTTTTCCATCCTGCAAGTGAGCTCCTTCCCTCTGTTCTGACCATAAAACACCTTGGAGCACAGTTCCAGAGCACAGTTCCACACCCATTTTTCCATGCTGGAAATGAGTTCCTTCCCCCTGCACAGCCCTGTGCAGTTGTCCTCCCTCTGTTCCTGCCCTGCCCGGGTACCACAG